ATTATCATGGTATTCTCCCTCACTGTAGGTGCCAAGCCAAGTGCATTGTAAATATAATTATTTTTCCTGGGATGGTCATACAGAACTTTGAAGAGCCCATGACCACATATAATTTCTACAGTAATGATTTTCAGCTAATGTTTTGTAACTTCAACAGATCTGAGCTAAATCTCAGTGGTTCTTGCCAGAATCCAAAAAGCAGTGGGCAAGAAATAGATTTTACCAGTGTCTTTAACACCAAAATGATTATACTATATAATGAAGAATAGACTAATTGTGGAATAATTCAAATCCAGCTGGGATGTTCTAATATATCTTTCATTCAGTCACAGCTACTAAGTTCATAACACATTCAGGGATGATCACATTGGGTATCTGTTCTCTTCCACCTATTATCTTATTTTGTGGAAAATCCTTCCAAAGGGGAAAAGGGACAACTTGAAAATCTGTAGGTAAGCCTGATTTCATCTCCTTTGACCTCAGGAGATGGAGTAAAAACCTGTGTAGTGTGCAAATCCCCCTGCAAAGTAGCCCTTTCCAATATTAGCATAGCCAACTCTCTAGCCCAAAACTACCCTTTTCCCACATCCTCATCTTCCATGTCCAAAAGACTCCTATCAGAGGTTAACAATGCATTAATTTCTCCAGGAAAATATAAGATTTCCCGGTAACATGGTATCTATTGAAGCTAATCCCTCTAGCCACAGAAGAAATGTCTCCTACTCTCCTTCAGCTTCTTACAGAGCCACTAAGTTTATTTGTCAGACAAAGAGGTTGGACACTGAAAACACCTCTTTTCCATGTTCTACCTCCTTTCTTTTGCTGTCTCTGCCCCTGTGTCCTGTTCTGAAGCATGTAGCTGAAGGATCTGAATTCACAGAATCATAGAAAATTAAGGTTGGAAGGGACTAATCTAACCGCCGGCTCAAAGCAAAACCATCCCCAAATAGATCATCCCAGCCAAGGCTATGTCTACCCATAACAACTTCTAAGGATGGAGATTCCCAAACGTCCTGGGTATCCTGTTCTAAAGTGAGGTAGTGTGAGAGAGAAAGTTTTTCCTAATATCTAATCTAAATTTCCCTTGCTGCAAACTTGAAACCATTGCTCCTTGTTTTGTCATCTGCCACCACTGAGAACAGTGTAGCTCCATCCTCTTTGGAGCCACCCTTCAGGTGGTTTAAGGCTGCTATTAAATCCTCCCTCAGTCTTCTCTTTTCCAGGCTAAATAATCCCGGTTTCCTCAGCCTCTCCTTGTAAGTCATGTTCTCCAGGATTCTAAACATTGTCATTGCCTTCTGCTGGACTCTCTCCAATTTGTCCACATCCTTTCTGTAGTTGGAGCCCAAAACTGGACACAGTACTCCAGATGCAGCCTCACCAGTGTTGAATAAAGGAAAATTATCTCTTCCCTCAATCAGCTGGAAACACTCCTACTAATGAAGCCCAATATACTGTTAACCTTCTTTGCAGCAAGGGCATACTGTTGGCTCATATTCAGCTTATTGTCCACTTAGTTTACCAATTATTTCATTTATTCTATTTTTTAACACTCTTACTGATGGGACCTCAGCTACTTCCCTTGGCAAATGATTCTATTACCTAACTGCTTGTTTGTTTTTTCCCCTAGCGTCTAACTTGATTTTTCACCTCTTCAGCTTCAATGCATTCCTCTTCCCTGTTTATAGGACTCCTCCTCCTCACTTCCAGTAAATTGTTGCCCTCCTCCCCATCCCTCCATACAACCACTAGGCTGATTTTAAACATTTAAAGATTATTTCATGTTCAGTTTTCCAGACGCAAATAACTGTCAATATAATTTTATGTCCACATTAATGAATGGACTCTACAGACATTATTCACTCTAGACAATTGCCTATGTTGTTGTGCCCACATATAAAGGAGGCAACCATCTAAATAACTTTATTTGTACCACAAATTATTTACAGCAGGTGCAAAGCTGCAGTATAAAGGGGAGAACTGATTTTTAAAATCAGGTACAGTCTATCCAGAAAACTATCTTTTCTTGTTTTGCTGGAGGTTTTTTTCCCCCTTTTAAGATGTGCATATTAAGTTATTCTCATCTGTCATGGGCCGTCTCCTCCAATGTTTTGAATTTATGCTAACAGATTAATCTTTTTTAAAAGTTGAGATGTTCAAGCTGTAGACTCAACTTTACAGATGGTCCTTCTGAGCTTATCTAAACAACAAATTATAATTTTTGTATTTTATGTTAAACCATCTATTTAGCTATTCCATTAAGACAGCTCCTCTAAAGAAGATCTAATAAAAAAGTATCTAAGATATGATGGGACTTAATAAACACCTAGGAATGATACCATAGATCCTGTAAAATCTGTATGTTATGCAAAATACAGTAACCCTTATACTGGTATCATTTTATTTCTCACCTTTTTGCCATGGTTCCTTAATTAATAGTTTCAGGTATCTGTGCTTAAGGCCCTCCAGGAGATTGAAACTGGGCATCTGAGGAATTCCCTCCTCCATTGTAACACTTACAATCTACTCTTGACCGAAAGCAGGATGCTTGTGAGGGCAAGATACAAAAATTACAGAGTGGGCGGCTCTAGATTAACTCTATAAGTGATAAAAATGATTGTAAATTTAATCCATTTAAAAACTCAATAGAAAACTCATTTTCTTGGGTTGCCCTTTCCACACTAATTTCTGTAAACACTCAGAGAAGAAGAATTGAATATAAACAAACAAAAGACCTATAAATTAATTGAGCCATTTCTGCTAAACACTGGAAAGAAGAGAGCAAGAGCAAGCATTATTTCTAGTTTTCATATATTTGGAAAGACTTCAGTGAGGGCGTTAAGACCTAGACTTAAAGCCAAGTACTGAAATATCCATCTATTTAACACAGCACTTTCCCTGGGAAAAAGCAAAATATGAGATACGTGTATCATATAGTGTTTATGGGGGGAGTCCATGAAAAAAGTGACATGCTGGATGATGGTGAGTTCTGCTGTGGCACTGATTTAAAATCAGCTCGATATAGTCATGAAGAAACGTCATCAATACTATCATCTCAAAACTGTATGGTAGATGATGCAAACTGAATTTGTAGTTTTAGAACTGATTCTTCACATCATAAAAATGCTAATAAATGAATATCTTTGTTGACACTTGGTTAGAGAGCCCAAATTCTTGTTCTGAAGGAAATGAATGGTGAGTCTTCATTGACTACGTTGGAAGGAAGATGATTTGTACTGACATGAAGACCACACCCCTTTTCCACTCCATACAACATCACAAAGAGCTATACTAGAGAGAAACAAAATTTATCACTGAATATCCAACTGTATTTAATATCGTGGTTCATATATCTTCTTCAATATTTGTAATCTCAGAGAACATTTCCCAATCCACTTTCCTCACTAGAAAAAGTGTTTATATAAAAAATTCAAAATAATGCCTAAAATGGACTCTGATTCATTTTAATTTCAGGGTTACTATTTACTACCAATGCCTTTACTACCTGTTGATAACAAATCATCACATTAGGGTCTCATATTTTTTAATAAATCATCATTTGTGCAAAATGTCAAATGAGAAATAGGCACCAGTACTTGAACATTTCTGATTGATGTATGTTGGCTTGTACAACTTGATTGTTAATTTATTTATTGCCTTTTACATTATAGTCACCTAGTATACTAGTTGCCTTAAATCTAAAATTGTATTAATTAAGGTAAAGGAACAGGAATTTACATGAATGCAGATACAATATCAGAACATCTAGTGGACAAAGGGATTGCTTGTTTTTATTGCATATTATCTTCAAAATTACATTCATAATCCATAATATAGAAAAACCCATTGTTTTCTATGATTCCTAAAATAAGAAAATGATTTATAAATTGAGGTTTATATTAACATCAAGGAAATCAGTAAAATTAAACCACATATGTTTTTGCCCAGTATTTAAAGATTATTTCAAAACAGAAGAATTAACACACCCTATTAAAATGCACATATATTTTATAACTTATTTTTTATGCCTAGGAAATGATATATCAATTATTTTATAATTGATTGATCTCAAAAGGGAGGGCTTCTGATTAAAATGTATTGAAAGCTAATATATGAGGGAAAACAATTTCAATTATATAGCTGTGGGGGGGTTGTTTGGTTCTTAGAAAGTAGGATGGAAAACAAACTGTGGTTTCTCAAAGGAGAATAAATTGCAGTTGTTCAAAATCATTGCAAAGCAGAGGATTCTAGCTGTACGTCTATCAGCTTCATCATTATAGATGACCAAGTGCTGGATCAGTGCAATATAGTGGAGCAAGACAAAACATTGTTTCCTATTCTCATTCTAAATAAGGAGACATTACGTCCTGCTAAAGATGCAGGCATGGTTTTAACTTTGAGAAAGGATAACAGTTTAACAATCTTGCTTTAGACTTGTGTCATTGAATAGAGAGATTTATAGGCCTTTGTGAAATGGAGAGATTGTTAAGCTAAACCCTGATATCCTTAACTAACCCAAATCCTGTTAACCTTACTGGAACATTTACCTGTCTAAAAAATGGAAGATTCTGGTCTTCGGCATGAATCCTCTTATGAGCAAAATCCACAAGAATGTTTTGTGTATTCTTTAGTAGCTAAGACCTTTGAAGATCTACAGCTCACTGAAAACAGTCAAATCTAGGACCATGATTTTTATCCTTCATTGAGAACCCTCAGTAAATTAAGAAAATTTTCCACTGAACTGCAAATTACAGATTTTGCCAGTAATGTATGGCATGTGTATATATATATATATATATATATATATGTGTGTGTGTGTGTGTGTGTGTGTGAGAGAGAGAGAGAGAAAGGTATGGATGGATGTTTTACTAGCATGTCTAGCATATCAAAAGGATTATATAAATCTATAAAACAAAAGAAATCAGGATTGGATGTAAAGTAATGTTTTTAGGCCTAAGGCTTTCTATTAGAGTAAAATTTAAAGTTACAATATAACACACCTCCCAATCCTGGTCTCAGGCGGTTATCATAGCCATCTAGCAGACGGTCCAGTATTCTGGTAAATATGGTAGTGTTGTCTTTAATTTCATCTTGTAATGAAGTTTGTCCATAGCTGAAATCAGTTAACATAAAACATTAATCCATGAGTAACCCTACGAAATAATAATTAAAAAATCTGCTTAATCTTGCCTATCCTGATTTAGGGAAACAAAATCTCTTGTATAAAACCCAATTGTAGTGCATTATGTGCTTCTTATTCTCAAGCATTTTCTTTTTAAAATATACATTTTTAATAAATGAAAAGTAAGCAGAACCTCAGTCCTTTATTGCTTACCTCACTATTCATTGATTGTCCTAACATTTCAATGTATGTTTACACTAAAATTTGTATTTTTCAGGAAATGATAATGTACTTTAATTTAAAACATATAACTGCCTGTGATCCAAAGAAGCGCAACCTAAATTAAGACTAAGTGGATTTAAAACTCAGAAAGTATATGGTAGAATAATGAGAAAATATAAAAGGTACACAGACAAATTTTTCTGAACCCCTGTATGATCCTAATGACATATTTATGGAGTTATGTCACCTATCAGAGCCAGAGCATAGCATTTCCCACTAATTTAAATGAATGATTAGTATTAACACATATATCTCTTATGTAGGTTTATTTTGGCTTTCTTTTATTTCTGTTTTTCCAATAGGAGATTCATATAGCTGATGTTTAAAAACGTAATCAAGACATGTTGATATAGAAATCTTCCACCTTTCTACCCACTACTCCTAATACAACAGGCCTAATGCACCCAAAAGTCCCACTGAAGACAGTGGAAAGTTTCCATAAATTAGGATAGCAGAATCAAACTTTTTGGCTTGCTTATTATGATCCCACTTACACTTGTGTAAAACAGGAGTAGTATTGTAGGTGTGATGATTGAGGAAATAAATAGAAGGAAAATCATTTTAATTAATGAAGTTATGGTAATGTAAGAAAGGCATAAATGTGATCAGAATAAACCTCTTTCCTAACCACCTGAAATCCTTGCCAAATACAGATTATAGCATGTTTCTTTTAATCATTTACTATAGCTGTCTCGGTGATGATAAATCCTGATATACTTACTCTCTCCATTAAACTCCCAATAAAAATGCCTGCCATTACCAGTATTGAACCCAAATTGTTTTTCAATACAAAATGTTGACACCAAATACTATTGCTGTTTGCTACTGAATCAGGTAACCAATGTGGTGCAGAGAAACTTTCTGTAGAATGAGATCTTGTTGAAAAGTTACCCTCATGGCCAACATGTTTCCTGTATGGACATTACTGAAGAAGAACAATGATCTGCCAACACCATTTGTTCTAACCAGCCAAGAAATTAATGTGTCAAGTGATTATTTTCTATTAACAGTATTATCTCCCTAAAGTCTTATCAATTTAAAAATAGCAGGGGGATACTGCTGGGGAATCCATCTACGTGACCTATTATGTGGAACAGAAAAAAAAAAACCATTGGTATGTTGTTTTCCAATATAATTTTAAATAATTATACCATGTGTTTAAACAACTATCAGTTTACTTCACAGTTTTCACCAACTTTTTTCACTAAGAAGCATTATTTAGGGCACAGTTTTTAATACAGTGGTAGGAATGTATAATGAAAATATAAAAAGTTCTATACATAATGAGTAGAATAACATAACAAATACACTTTTCAATAAAAAAATTATGAATATCTCTAATAATGTGTCATGTTTTCTTTCAACTATCAAAAACAAACATCTCCAGTTTGAGAATTTGCTTTTGAATCTGGCAGTAATATTTTAAGTAAAAGATGGAAATATTTTTTCCTTCATTTTATATGTTACTTTTAGCCTAATTAGCCAATTATGTTGGGTGTATCACCATATTTTTTCTTAATGCATAGTACATTTGAAAATATATTTTCAGGTGCATTACATTCAGCTGTAACCTGGACTCTTCTCTAAATTAAATTCTATATAGAGACTTTTGTCAGTAAACAAACTGCTGTGCATGCACTTCTCAAGGATTGCAGAAGGTCATCAAGATTAACATGGAAGTGGGGTACAAGAACACTTTGCTAAGTCTGGTGAGAAATAAATGAGTCTACAATAGGCAGAGGAGGGGAAAGAGTAGTAGACTTCTGCCAAAGTAGTCTGAGAGGATACAAGAAAATATAATTATGCCATTAATTGTATTTTGGCACATGGAATTTTCAGCACCTTTACCTCTTCTTCCCTTATTTTTTCCAAATGTGAAAAATAGTCTTAATCAAGTGACATTCCCATATAACATAGACAGTGTGTACAAGGGCACGTATACAATATGTTATAAATCCAAAGTAACAATGACCTTTTCCACTGCAATTTATCTGAATCCGAGAAACCAGTTTTAGTAAAATAGCCCTAATGTTGATCTTTTCTTTCTGTGAAGAGAAGCCTGTAGCTCTTCTGCATCTCAGTAATTTAATTAGAAAATCATAGTTGCCATGAGGAACTAATCAAAGTCTAAAATTAAAGAAAAATAAAGCTGATCTGGATAAAATGGCTCCATGAACTCATATGTTTTATGTAAAATTCATACATTTTGAAGAAAAAATGTCAAAGTTACTGTACAGGATTGTAGTTTCATACTAAACCACTGTATAATAAAACACTGTACACTAACTCCATCTACAGGTCATTATATTAGTGACACTTGATATCATTTTTCAAGAGCAGTCAAATGCATTTTAATTCTCATTTCAGAACACACACAATACCTGTGCAGTGAAACATATTCTGCATAATACTTTAGATGCATAGCATAAAACTAATTATCTAATGAAGAGTTTACATTTTCCATTTTGGACAGAATTTTAAATAAGTTTGTTGAGCAGGAGTGGGGCCTCTATTTTCCCATCTTATTTCTGCAACACACATTAAGATGTGTACAACCTTCAAATTTCTATTTTTTAGATGAAACACCCATGAAAAATAGACCTTTTAGGACCGCGAAAAAGATACCGCAACATTATTTATATTAATCGTCAGATAGGATTAGCTAGGATTCTAGTATTTTTAAATGTAAATCATTATATTTTTTATTTCCCCATACCCCTTATGTAAATTTGGATCGTACATTTTCTTTTCAGAATACTTTAGATGTTGTAATTCCATAGTCATGAATTATCTCAACATTAGTGCTCTATATATAGTCTAGTATACAAACAACATGGACTTTCAAACCCAATGATCTTTTTAGGGAATTGATCCTACGGCCTCAAACTCAGTCTTTACCAAAAAGAGGCTGGTTTCATAAGTAAGGGGTACTTTTATGAGTAAGCTATTGCAGGACCAGGCAGAAGGCTTTTAAAAATATTAATAATAATAACAAAAAACAGGTTAGGGCCTAATCTTTTCTCAGTCTAGAAGCAGATGAAAGTTTTACCTCTAATTACACTGAAATCAGGAGTAGTGCATAATACTTAAATAAAATGTCTTAATAACGCTTTTCTTCCTTTTGTGAATTAAAATCACAGGTGAAATACAAAATAAAGTCTCATCTTCTTTGTTTGGGAATATAAATGATAATATTTTATAGGTATTCAAATGATAGTTGAACTTCAATAGGCTTCAAATAACTTCTGATGAAGATTTCTTTAGTAATATTTGAATAAAGGTGTTATGCATGGAATTTGTACCATTATTTCCATCTTCCCTTTTTGAGACTTAGCTGATATTTGAGTAGAAAGTAACATCCCGCATGCTCTTAGTAGTAGTGCAATCTATGTGAAATATGTTTCTTATGCTGTTGAAACAGACTTAAAAGTTCCATTTTTATTATTATTTTTAAAAATATTTCCCCCACCTTCTTCCAGTCAGTGCATTCAAAAGGAGGCCCCAGGCCCAAAGATAGTCACAAAGTGCCACAATTCTCTTCATGATGGGCTCTGAAAGCTGGAAAGGAAAATAATGATAAACATCCCTTTTGCTAAGACAGTTGTTATGGAAAATACAACAGGAGACAAGTAACTTTAGTTGAATAATTGGATATCAGCTAATGACCTTACAGTGCTAAGGCACATCATTCAGAATTGGGTAAATCATTACATTTAAAAAAACCCTATTAATTTTCCTTCTAATATTCTATTTCTGGACATAGAAATATTTGTGGTTTACTATGTTGCAATTGATGTTTAAGTTTATTCCTATTACTCTTGAACTTCTTTAAAAAAAGAGGTATATTACTGAATAAAACTTCTAAGTTCCAAACTAAGTTGAAAAGATTATTGTTCAGTGTCTTTCTGAGTTGAAAATATAGATTTTTTTCCATGGCATCTCCAAAATCAAATATAATTGCTTAATAATAGCTTTTTACTGACTTAAATGCAAATATGCCATTTGGAATGGCTCAGTAGATGATGCCACTGACTGTAACAGTGTTTCCTTGTCTATAAGTATTTTCCTTTGGTATTATGGTAGCAACTTTCTTCAAAAGATGTTACTATTTCATTTGTTATGCTTATTGAAACATCATTGTTTCAGAAGCAGTGTAATGTTTTGAATCTCATTCTGGAAGCTATTACTAAATATGCACGCTAATACTTTTGTCAGGCTAAAGGACACACTTTATAATCAAACCATGTGCTGACTGCCTACACCCCATATTTTAAATCTCTAGCTAGTCCCCCTAGCTGCTACTAGGAAATGTTTCACATAAACAGTCTCTCCCTCTGCTCCCCTCCCCCCCCCCATACCTTCTGTACCCCTTCCTCTTAACTTAATGCAAACATGCATTTCATTAAGTGAAAGGTAAGATTACCTTCCCCATTTATCATTCCACTGATGCTAAAAACAAACTTAGCTAGTATTTATGGAATCAATTATCAATATTCAGTAGACTGCCTAGCTGGTGCTGCAAGTCTCTCTCTCTTTCTCTTTCTCTCTCTGTATGTATATATATATATATAGATATATAGATATAATATATCTATGTACACACACAACACACACACACATAACATACTGCGTGTGTGTGTTGGAATCCATTCAGTTGCTACCCTTCATTAAATTAAAGGAAAGGAAAAAAAGAATCTGAAACCCAACACTTAAAATGAGTAATGAATTGGAATAGTTTAAGACATCTATGAAAATAAAGTACTGTACATTTCCATGTTGTGGTACCTTTAAATAATTCTACCCCAATTCACTGCACACTCTCAGGGACAATTTAAATCAATAAAGCATCATTACAAAGTGGCATGTAAGCAATGAAGTATAATTAATGTGTTTATAGTAAAATGATCTGGAGATAAACATTCAGTACATTTGAGCTAATCTAGCTGGATGTGAAGCAGACGAGCTGAACGAGTTGAATCAGAAAAGCAATGATTAGAGATCGTCAGGGTAAGAGACTGCATCTTAAGTTGCACTGTTATCATTCCCCCTTTAAAGATTGAGAGAAAACATCTGTAGCCTCAAAGCCACCATCTATTATTACTATTAACTTTTGGTTTTGCAAAAAGGGGCTTCAGTGTAACAAAGAAGCAGATCCTTATTCACTGTCTGCCTTGAGCTGATTGATTCCCCCTTAAAGAAAACCATAAGGAAGCTATAATTGCTAGAAAAGTAAAGTTTCTTGCAACCTGAAAAAAGCAGTTCGACAATACCAGCCCTCCCAACCCAGCCCCCAGCCCTCCCCACGCCGGAGACATTATTTTAAATAGTCTAGAGTTTTCCTATTCAAAATGGGAGAGACCCACACATCTGTGATCATTTCAGTAGCGCCCATTGCAAAAGATGCATTCCGATCCCCTTTTTTTTTCCCGTGCTGAGAGCTTTGCCTTATTCCGAGCAGTAGCTTGACTTGCTTTCCTTGCTGCCTTTTAACTTTGTATTTTCCCCCCGTCACTAAGAAGTCCACCCCGTTCCCTAAAATAGATATTTTTCTAAGGGACCCTTTAAAATCAATGTCTACAAAATTGCCAATCGATCCTTGCGCATCGTTAACCTGGGGAGGGACACACACACACACACACACACACAAATAAAGGATTTAGATGTACCTGCTAAGGGGGGGGGGAGGGGGGGGGAACGGTCGTCCCTATACCTCTGTGTTATTCCAGAAAAACCTGGCCGATCAACGGTCTGTTAGCAGTAAATAAGCAGCTCTTACCGAGAACCCCTCTGGGCACAGGTTCGCAGAATCGCTGAAGAAGTCTGCCAGAGAAAATCGCCCAAGAAATCAAGGCTGCTTGAAGGTAAGGAGCCCTTGGAGTGGCTGAGGCTGTGCTTCCTTTCTCGGCTCTGCCTCTCAGTCATTCGGTCCCTGCCATCATGGACTCTGCCGGTGCTTCGGTCTTGGAGATTTAACACCCAAATTTCTTTTCCCAATATTCAGACCGCAGCTATACAACAAAAGCTTTCTCTTTACCAAGACAGTAGTAATACGTCCCAGGGTAAACCGGATGTGAAATAGGCTGTGACTTCATGCCAGAGAGATTTTATTTTAGAAAGGAAGGTGGTACCAAGCTCTCATCTAGAGACCAATCCGCCCATTTTTTATATGCAGCACAATTTAACTTCCAGTGCTCTCGCCCTAATCCCTTTCTCTCTGGCTGCAGACTCAAATCCTTCTACAATCTGCAGCATTATTATGATTTGGGGGGGAGGGTGTACGTTTTGGGGGGGTGGGAGCTTACACTCGGAATCTTTTGACACCTGCAGTTTACAAAACAGGCTATTTTAAGGCTCGTGCATTCAAAATACAACCCATCTGCGTTAGCAATCGACCTTTGATCAAATATTTAATCGCTGCATAAATATGAATGAAAGCAAGCTAGGAGACACAGGCGATGCAGCGCGGGGTGTGTGTGTGTGTGTGTGTGTGTGTGTGCGTGCGCATATATATATATATATATATATATTGTGTGATTGCAGACAGACACAGATGGTAGCCATGGATATAGGTATGTAGAGAGCTACACCGCGATGCATAGTGATGGCAATTAAACTCAAGGAATATGCATTTTGGATGAAGTCTGTAGGCAATCCGTTCATAACCCTGTGGCTTTTTTTCGTGGGTAGGTGACCTGTTTGTCTATAAGCGTCTGTTTGTTGTTGACGACATGGAGGGAACATATCATTTTAGTGGCTGGTGGCCCCCCCCCCCCACAAAAAAAAAAAACCCCCCTCAACCCCGCAAAAACCCTCGTCTGAACACTGTAGCTTCCACACCTATCTCTGTATACGTCTGTATACATTTGGCTCTGCATCCCGTTCACTTTCCTAATGTGCGATTTCCCTGCTTTTGCTAAATGGTGCTGAGATGTGATTATTTTCTATCAGTTAAAATAAGCGTCTCCTCCCTGCCAAGCCCCCGCTTTCTCTGGTTAAGGATGCATCTATCAGAGCCCTGAAAAATGAGAATAAAATCAGGCGACCAGAAAGGCAGGATCATACCTCACTAACTATTGTGCCCTATGGATGTGCCTTCCAGCTCCCAGAACTGACTGGTGGGACTCATCTTCCGATTTTATGAATGGGTTCCCTTAGAAACAAGGTGCGGGAAGCGGGTGGTGCAGCTGAAGGCGGAGGTGGACACATCTGCCTCTTCTCCACGCAGGAGCCGTCGTGTCAGTGGCCGGGCTCCGGGAGCTGTCCGTGGTCCTGCAGGGAAACCTCACTCCCTTCAGCATCGGGAACCTGTAGAGAGGTCCTGAGTGTGGTGCGAGCGTGTACCTGCTACCGGCTTGGGAAACGAGATCATCTCAAACAAGTTGGATCTTCTTATAAATGAGGTGTCAGTGTTTCTGGACTCCACCAGAGCTTTAATGCTCTAGGGGAAAGGGAAAGGTCAACATACTGTTGGCTTTCAGAAGTTCTGTAGTACTTCTTGCACAAGGGTAAAGGCTGTTCTACAAGGAAGTCTACTATGACCCGTGGTGACCCATCTGTCCTGTAACTAACCCTAATAGCCTTAAATCAGCTTAGAATCATTTTAAGCCTAAAATAATGAACAAAATCAGGTTGGGGAAGACCATCCGGGTGGTGCAGTAGGCTTCCAGAGAGAGTGATCCACAGACACTCTCTGGAAGAGAGCTACTTTAGAAGTTAGCTCTTAGCTCGTGGCATATCTCCACAGCTTCAAGAAACCTGCAGCCTTTCATATGTGTGGCCAGCACTCTGAATTTACATGAATGCATCAGGTCTTTCTGTTTTTAACCCATGTTTCATGTAAAGATAAAACATTCGGTTAGTTTTAAGTTAAATTCCTATACCTACAACTTGATTCGCTGCAAGATTCCTGGGAGTGGATAAGCCCATTATTATTATTATGTCTCTTCACACACAGTATGTAAGTGACATTTTGTTTTCAGTATCTCTTTTAAGGGATTATCACACCTATTTTTGCTCTTCTCTATGAAACATAATATTGCTCTTAAAGTCAAAATACTTACTGGGTTTCAGTGGGACCAGGATTGTGTCCCTAACTTTCTACAAGGCTGTCTGTCACAAGCCTTATGTACACTTTTTATGAAAATCTCCACATCAAATGCATTCTCCCATTATGGATTACATTATTTTTTGTCTTTGTAAACAGAATGGGAAGGATCTGAAACTCAGCTAAACTAAAAGAACAATGGCATTCATAGCTAAGACTGTCATTAGTTTCCAAGATGTCAGAGTACTGCAAAGATGTTGAAAGAGTGACTGATATTATAGTTTAAGTACAACAATATCTTCCTTAAGTCTAAGGGAATTAGGAATTTTGGTTGAAAAAGTCTAATGTAGGAGATCCCCATTATTTCTGATCAGCATAAACTAACCATATAACTTTAAAATTAATCTAAATTATTCTATTTGGCTTCAGTGAACAGTGATCTAGAAAAAATCATGGGACGGATGCATAGTGAAGTGTACTGGTTTTCAGTATTATGCCA